TTATTTCTGTTCTGCAATTCTTGGTTTTCTTTTAATTACGATTTTTTCTTCTTTGGTCAGTAATTAAAAAAGTACGATTTTTTTTCTTCTTCGGTATAATTAAAATAGTACGATTTTTTTTTCTTTGATAATTGAAGCAGTACGATTTGTTTTCTTCTTTGATAACAAAAAACAAACAGTTCAATAAACCTATTAAGTATTTATGAATGGAAAAGTAATATAGATATAAAAATATCGTTTTTAATTAGACCATGAAAAATAAATGATGCATTCTGGTGGTGGTTTGCAGTGGTCAATTGACTCGACTCATGATTATCTCTATTAAAGTTTTGCCTCGAGGTTGGTAAGCAGTTTATCGACACGTTATCAGTTTATATTACTTTTAAGCCTCTGTGTGTTTTATCTATTAATCGACAAGGAGAGTTGTTCCATCATAATTCTATCACAATATACATGGCTTTTTACAAGCAAACATTTAAATAATCTGATAAGATCGCCAACATATCAGACAATTAGCCCTTATAAATAATATAAAAATACTGTTACAGTTCCAACAAGGGGGTCCATTTCAGAATTAATTCTCAATTTACAGCATGAAGCAACTCACCTAATATATGATTAGAAAAGCTAACAACAAAAGACCTCAATGACAAATTGAAAATTACTCGACACTATTTGCCAATTTAATCTGAATTAAATTCAACTAGTCGATTAAATTTTAATTAAATCTAAAACTGAATCTAAACGACCAAATTAATTCTAATTTGTCAACTATTTATTTTCCAATAAAGACAATGTCAATAGACAAATAAATAAATGTAAAGCCTTTTCCAAAGGCAAAGAATTGAAAAAATAAAATTGAAAAGAAGACGTACTATACAAAAGGATTGCATTGACAATAATTGTAGAAAGGAAGACAAAATGTTTAAATGATCGATAATTGGAGCAAACAATGACGAGTTCGCGTGCGAATCTCGGCCAAGATCAACGATCTTTCAGGTGGGAACGATCTCTGGTCAAGTAGAAAGTTGGCGCGCGATCCCCACGCACGCCATAAAAGTCTTTCAGTTTAAAAATAAAAAAGTCAGAAAAGAAGGAAGAAAACACGGAATTATACGATTCCAAGGCACTTCTGGTCATAATAATGCAATATATATATATGAAACTTCAACTGATTTTAGAGCGCACATATTATTTTCCCTTACATATGTGACAGATACGATATATATTTATAACCGGAAGACAAATTTGTTAACATAACTTTCACATTAATTGAATTGATCACAATATATATGTGCTATTGATATTAAACGATTAATTGTTTAATTCTTCAAATATATGTAAGAACTTTCAAATATGTCTAAATAATATATATATATAAGTGCATGCCGTTCACTAAAAGATCGATCATTATTTTCCTTTTGCATCGTGGGAACTTCAATTTGAATAAATTAATAAGATATAATAAGTAATTTACCAGTTTGATCTAGAGATTTCTTCAATTTCAAATATGTATTTATTTTTTCTTTTTTATTTTTCTAGGTCATTTAATTGAATATATCCTGCTACTAATTTGTCGGCAATCAATTCTGATTAAATATATGTACATGACTTATTTAGCAAAGAATCAGAAGCTCAATAAATGTGTAATTTATAATTTATAAAATTTTATAAAGTTTAATGTAAAATAATTTGAGTAAAAATTAAAAATCGTATCTATATTTCGTCTTCGAACTCGTTAATTAATTGGAAAATAGCAAGAAAAAGCAGCTTTCAGACTGTATCAAAGATTAATTCTAAACGGTTTCTGAGTACCGACAGGTTTCGGTAAAAAGCTCTTTTTTATAAAAAAAAACCTTCGCTTTAATTAAAAATGACCTAATTTCATAATTCACTATAGACAAAATCGTAAAAAAGTGCCAAGACCAGAGTCTTTTTCAAGATACAAATTTTTTATGAATCAAAAATGAATTCTAATCAGTGTATGATTACAGCGTCTTTTCGGAAAAACGCTCGTTTTAAAAAAAAAGTTTTCACTAATTAAAAAGCCCTAATTTGATAACTGACTCAAAAAATCGTATTTAAAAATTTCAAGACTAGAGTCCCTTTTTTTATAAAATTTTCTGAATCAAAGATTAATTGTAAACAGTTTATAAGTACCGCCACGTTTCGGAAAAAAGTCCTTTTTATACAAAAAACTCTTAATCATTTAAAAAAAGCCCTAATTTATTGATAATTGACTCCAAAAATTGTAGAAAAAATATTTTTTGAAAAAGTTCTTTGTAAATTTTCAAATTCTTTTGTTTACAATTTATTTTTAAGTAATTTCGATTATTCTGACATTTTTCAATTAAATATTATTAGAAATTAAAAACTTCAAATAATTAAAAAAAACATTCTATTAAACTTATTGAGAAAAATCAATTCTATAGAATTCTTAATTAAACGTATAAAAAGTTCAAATATTCAGAGATTTTAATTTGAAATTCATTTTTAAATCAATATTTATTAGAAAATTTTATCAAAAAATTTTTAAATAATTGAATTCTCTTGAAAATTTTAATAAAATTTGTAAGATTAATTGCATTTTTCGAAGAATTTCATTAAAATTGTATTAAAAATAATTGAAATTCAGCATTGAGTTTTATTATTTATGAAAATAATTAAATCCCTGTAAAAAATGTTATTATTTATAAAAATAATTGAATAATATATGAAAATACTTTGTAAATAATTGAATTCCTGTGAATTTTCATTATTTATGAAAATAATTAAATGTTGCGTAGAATTATATTAAAAATTTTTTAACTAATTGAATTAAAACAATTTTTTATTCACAAAAATTTTAATTTTTGTATAAATTTTTAGAAATTTCCCTGACCTTCAATGAAATTGTCTGACATTTTCTTCCATCCCTGACCGTTAGACACCCTGTTAATTAGTCTCCACCCTTTAATAAAAAATCTAAAATTCTCAAAATTTTTCAAAAATTCGAAAAACCAAATTTCTTAAAATACAATATTTTTTCTTCTCTTTTATGGCATTTAGCTTCAATATTTTTGTGCTCTTCAAAAACACTTTACTTATTTAATAGTCTCCACCCTTTGGTAAAAAATCTAAAATTATGGAAAATTAGCAAAAATTCAAAAAACCAAATTTCTTAAAATTCAACATTTTTTCTTCTCTTTTATGGCATTTAGCTTCATTATTTTTGTGCTCTTCAAAAACACTTTACTTATTAATTAGTCTCTGCCCTTTGGTAAAAAATTGAAAATTATCAAAATTTTTCAAAAATTCGAAAAACCGAATTTCTTAAAATTCAAACATTTTTTCTTCTTTTTTATGGCGTTTAGCTTCATTATTTTTGGGTTCTTCAAAAACACTTTACTTATTTAATAGTCTCCATCCTTTGGTTAAAAATTTAAAATTATTAAAAATTCGAAAAACCCTTTTTTATTTAAAAAAAGCCCTAATTTAATTGTTGACTCCAAAAGAGTAGCAAATTGTAAATATAAGTAGTAAATAATATAATTCAGCAGATAGTACGAAGCCTGCGTTATAATAATCTTAATTACTGAACAACGAATAGTCAGTAATTGTAGAATTTAATATTTGTTTTTCTTAATTTTTGATTATTTTGCTATTAAATAAATTACTAATTAAACAATATTTTTAAGTGACCTATCAGTAGCTGTACGTTCTAGTGTTTTTTTCCCTAATTTTTTATTATTTCACTAATAGCTAAATTATTAATTAAACAATTAATACTAACTGATAAAGTAGTTATACAATTTAATTTTTCTTCTACATAAAACGAAATTAACTTTGAATGGTCCCAAAGTTTTGAACATTCAAATAAATGAAATTTACTTATTTCCAGCTCAAATTAAATTTTTATTACAATAATTTTGCATCACTAAAAATAAAATTCAATTTTTTAAGTTTATAAGTGAAATTTAAATTTTTTTACTTTTATTGCAACCAGTAATTTATGAAAATATTTTTAATAAAAAATATTTCATTCATTTGAACGTTCAAAACTTGTGTATCATAACTTTGAACAAAAACGACAAAAGCGCAAATTACTCCAAAAGATCTATTCAATTAGTGAAAGTTTTTTCAAAATTTACATCTTCGGAGAAAATAAATAAAATTTTATATTACGCCTAACAAACTTTCATCACAAAATTCTCTTTTCTTCTTTTTCATTACTTACTCAATTTTCCGCGGTTTAATAGCAAAAACATTCTTTTTCCCTAATAAATAAAGTTATATAGAAATTCAAAACAAAACATAAATGCAGTGGAGAATATTATTTAAATATATATATTGTTTTGCATATATGTTGCAGTTTTTATTGAAAAACACGCACTTAGTTTGACCGCAGTAAATACCGTAAGATATTTACAAGATAGAGAAACGTCACCGCAAAACTTTGTGTCTGCCAGCTATTCACTATATATATAAGAACAATCATATAGAACGCTATAAAAATGTCAAGAACAGAACAAAAGGAAAATGTGTTGAATTTATCGCTCGTCTAAATGAAATGGAAGTACAAGAGAAAATTTCTCATCAAAATCCAGAAACCAATTACATTTCAAGTTCTAATTAACAAAACCGTTTATATTGTCCAAATCGAAATTGTTAATTCTGATCTCTCTATCCCTCTTTCTAAATGTAAGCGGATCAAGGGAAAATTTCACTTATTCAAATTTAATGCTAAAACTAAATCGAGATTTTACATAATAACTACTTTACAATATTGAATATTTTACAGCAATTCGAAATTAAAATACATTCAAATTAATAATGGCAGGAATATTAATTTTCGATTTTGAATGAGCTTGATTATGAAGATAACAGAAGCAATGAACTCACAAAGAATAATTTATATTTTACATATTTTTTATATTTCATTTTTTAAATTTTATATATACTTTTTAATATTTAATATTTTTAAATATCAATTTTACTGAATACAATTTTTTATTTTGCAGAAGGAGTTCAACTTGGCTCAGAACCAAGTGGAATCGTTCATTACACGAACGTGCAGCAAGCGAGCACAGAAGTGGTAAGAAAAAAATCTCAAATTGCCTACTCTTTATCACAATCATGATTTATATAGAAATTGTTTTACCATATTCGGGCATTATTTCAATGCGCATTTTCCGCACGCAATCTGATGAAATCTTAACAACTCAATTTGGACCAAAAATTTTACATTTATATATGTATCAAAAACCAATCTAAATATCTAATCTTATTGAAGATATATTATTTATATATTTTTAAATTATAATTCCTTTTCCTCATCCTTACATCGTCCCATTAAATCCAGTTTGTCGAGCACTTTTCTCATGTACCTGATCCTTGAGATTATCCTACTTTTGCATCATGCGAATTGATCTCTTTACGAAGATAAGAATTCCGAGTTTTAACCCTTTCACTCAAAGTGTCATATACAGTAAGAAATGCATCACATCAGTTACCGAATTACAAAAAAAACGGAATTTTGCACACATCAAATATGCAATGCGTGAGAGAAAATTTTTTTATTTTCTAAATAAAAAAAATAAAATGCTTGTTAATTTCAGGGCTCGAACCAGTGAAAGTATTTAAAATTACGGAGTTTATGGACCAAAAATGAAAAATTATGAACCAATTACTGACAAACATATAACCAGGCCAAGACAAAATGTTTTTTAAAATTATTTTCATCATTTCAATAATAATAATTGTATTATTTTCTAGAATTTTTAACTAACATTCTTCTTTAAATCAATTATTTTTAATAATTTTCGAAAGAATTCTTTGAGAATTTTCAAATACATTTGTTTACAATTCAATTTTACGAAATTTTGATTATTCGGAAATTCTTTAATTAAATATATAGTAGAAAATACAAAATGCGAATTTAAAAAAAAATTCAATTAAACTTTTTCTAAAACTTCATGCTTTAATTCTTTTAATACTCAATTATTAATTCTACGAGAATTAAATTATTTAAATACAAATATTAATAATTTATTGAATAACTGAATGTTTCTTTAAATTGAATTCTCATAAAGAATTTTATCAACAAATTTTTAAATAATTCAATTCTTTTGACGAATTTTAATAAAATTTTTAAGAAAAATAATAATTTTCGAGGAATTTGATTAAAATTGTATAAAAAATAATTGAAATTCTGCAATGAGTTTTATTATTTATGAAAATAATTGAATTCCTAAAAATAATTTTATTATTCATAAAAAGAATTGAATCTTTGTAAAAAATTTTATTATTTATAAAAATAAAGAAATTATTGCGAAGAAAATTATGAAAAATTTGTAAACAATTAAATTCTTGTGAAATTTGTTCCAATTTTCGTTTTTCTGATACGGGCGGGTGGGGACGCTGGCTATCCAAAATTGTTTAAAAAAACTCTTATTGGTCCAATAGAAAAAAGCATTAATCCCTCTTTAATTTGCGACCAAGAAACAAAAAATTGGTCAAAAATTATTCAAGTTATTAATTTTTGTTGAACTTTTTTTTCAATTTTCGTTTTTCTGATACGGGCGGGTGGGGACGCTGGCTATCTAAAATTGTTTAAAAAAACTCTTATTGGTCCAATAGAAAGAAGCATTAATCCCTCTTTAATTTGCGACCAAGAAACAAAAAATTGGTCAAAAATTATTCAAGTTATGAATTTTTGTTGAACTTTTTTCCAATTTTCGTTTTTCTGATACGGGCGGGTGGGGACGCTGGCTATCTAAAATTGTTTAAAAAAACTCTTATTGGTCCAATAGAAAGAAGCATTAATCCCTCTTTAATTTGCGACCAAGAAACAAAAAATTGGTCAAAAATTATTCAAGTTATGAATTTTTGTTGAACTTTTTTTCCAATTTTCGTTTTTCTGATACGGGCGGGTGAGGAAGCTGGCTTTCAAAAATTGACTTTTACAGACTTTAAACAAATTTACGGACTTTTACAGCATTTACGGACTGTTCGAACCCTTATTTCATTATTTTGATAAATAATAAAATATTTACAAAGATTCAATTATTTTCATAAATAATAAATTAATTTTAGTATAAAATAAATGTTAGTAATCGTTTCCAGTGTTTCATTAGTCTGATTTTTCGAGAAAAAGAAAAAAAATACAGGAAAACTGGTAGAATTTAAGTGAAATTAGGACTAAAAGGATGTTAGCCGCAGTCGTTAAGGCACTGCCCAAGTCAGTCGTGTTCGAATCCTCCTAGCGATGGAATTTTTTTCTGCAGTATACTTATAGCAGTTTTACTTAATACAAATTGAGACTATTAAAAAGAAAAAATGTATCTAAATAAAAGTACACACAAGATAAATACCTAATTTAGAAAAATAAAAAATCGTGAAGAAAAGTTTCGAGTAAACAAATTGCTAACCCTGATTTGCATATGGCGTGCCAAGCATATATATACACACAGAAAGAAGGAGAATTCTCTTTAATGAATACGAAAAAGAAAAGGAAGACGCGATGAAATCAACAAGAAACCTTTGTAAATGTAATTCTTTATATTAATTATGTAATCGTCACATAAATAATTCCGTGTTCTTGATGTGCATAACACCGAATGCGTGAGTACTTAACGGTAAGGTATTCCGCTAGGTCCCTTTAAAGCTCTCGATGGACTCCCCTTTGAGTATGTTTCCTACTTTTAAAAGACTCAACTGAAATTCATCACTTTACAGAGACATTGCAAGATTATTCATTACACGATGAGCAAGAAATAAAACAATTTTCTCACAAAGATGGGAAACTACTCTTTTGCAGGAAATAAAGATAACGATATGTATGTAGGCCTCTCTTCCCATGAACTACATTAATCACATCCTAATTAAGTAATTTCAGTTTCTTATAAGCCACTTCAGAAATTCAATGATAACAACAACGATTCTATTTAATAAATATTCACATCGTAAAGGGGGCAAAACAACCTTGAAGTTTATTGTACTTTACCGACTACTATTAATATAAGGAAATTAAACGCGTGCGATATTAATCAAATTCTTAAATTCACTTTTACTTTTTTCCCATTAAAAAAAAATATTTCTATTTCAATCCTCGGATCGACTTTAAGCAAAAAAAGAGTCCTTTTGATCGATTCAAACTATAAAACAAGTTATTTATTTAATTCCGAATTGTGACAAATTTTTTTTGTATTTTCCTGTCTTTTCTCTGATTTCTAGAAAAAATTTTAATTTCTTCTCTTACTTCAATAACATCAATTCTAAGTTTTTGTTAATAAATTACATTACTTTAAAATTACTTTTGGTATTTTTAAATACTTTTCTTCAAAAAAACACGAATACTATTCAAAGTTATACAATTTCTTAAATAAAATTAAACATTATTCAATTTATTTTAATAGCAAATAAAAATAACATTGAATAATTTCTTAAAATTACAACTGTAATTGTTCTACAATTCAAGTATAGAATTCAAGTCTAGAATTTTTAACCAAATTTATTCAAAACTCAAAAGTTTAATAAATGTTCAAAATAAGTACATATTTAAATGTTATGTAAAAATTTTTAATTTGTAACCTTCTGAAATTCAGTAAAACACTAAAGTTAATTTCAATGTTTTGCAATTATGACGACTGAATGATGTATATTATTCTTCTCTAAATAAATTTTTCTAATAATTCTGAGAAAGTTCTTTCTTTTAATTAATTAAGTTTAATTATTTCAAAAAAAAATTTCACTTGAAATTAAATAGGTAATAAATAATAAATAAATAATAAAATAATTAATAATAAATAATAAAAATTCAACTAATTTCAACTAAAATTTAAAAAAAATGAAATTCTTTAGAATATTTAATAAAAGTTACTCAAAATTTAGATTTTTGAAAATTTTAATTTAAAACCTTTTGATATTTAATTGTTTCTAAAAATTTTTACTTAAAAATTCTTCTTTAAATTAATTCTTCTTAATTATTGTGAGAAAATTCTTCAAAGTATTTAAATAGTTATTTAAAAAAAAAGTTCAATTAAAATTCGTCTAAAATTCAATTGTTTTCAAATCAATATTACGAAATTTCGATTATTCAAATTTTAATTAAATTATATAATCAATAATTTAAGTAATTCAAATAAAATTAAATCAAAATTTAAAAAAAAACTAAGTTCTTTGATTTTTACCTACATTTCACGTAATTTGTAAATTTTTCAAATATTTTTAGTCAAAAATTTAGTTTCTAAATATTGTTTTAATAAATCTTTATTTTAGTTTGGTTTTAATGATCCAAAAAGTTTTTAAAATTCAAATGAACATAATATTTTTCTTTCAAAATATTTTCATAAATTACTCATTCTAATAAAAATTTCAAACCAAAATTAAACACTTAGAAACTTTACAATTAATTTTTTTTCAATGTGACTAAAAATTATTTAAACAAAATTTTTATTTTAAAGAAAAAATAAATTTTTTATGAACATTGTTTTTAATCTTTACTTTTATTTGCTCTTAAGGGCATTTGAACCTTGATGACGTTTCAGTTTGTGCAAAGCATGTGTGACGTCATCAAGTTTCAAATGCCCTTAATCTCAATTTTAATTCATTAAAACTTTCATCGATTAAAATCTTTGCTGACTGTGAATTTAATTCGTCAAAATTTTTAATATTTGGAAATTCAAACAATCTTATTTCTAATTAAGTTAAAATTTAATTTATCTAAATTTCAATTTCTCCAAATTTTAAACAATATAAAATTGAAATTTGATAATTTTAACCAATCTCACATTCAATTATTTCAAACTTCTCTGTCATTCAATTTGTGTATTTTTCTTTATTTATATTTTAGGAACAATTTAGCAAAAGTTTTGTAAATTACTGTATGTTTAATATTGTAACACAATATTTATTTAAATTCAAATTAATATTTGAATTATTAGTATAATAATTTTTTTTAATAAAATTTGAATTTGAAAAAGAAATAAATAAATTCGTTAATTTAAATTTTAAAAACTTTTAACTTGCTTCATATTTCAAAGAGTCTAAATTTAAATTAATCGAAATTTAATTTCTAATTATTATTGAAAATTA